GATGGGTTCTTCCGTTAGTCAACAATGATTTCATGGTCATCAGTAGATTCTTAATTTTAGATTTTTTCTGAGACCAAATTCGAACTTGGGTCCCCAGAACATTAGTTGAGATTCTGGATTAATAATCTGGTGATGATACCACGAGATCATGACTTTCCTTGTGTGTGATAGTGAATATGCGTAAAGGACCTTATGACGACCATAAACCCCTTGTCGTTTGTTGGGGAAAAACCTATCCGGTTCACTAATGCCCTTTAGGGAAGGAAACTGCGGTCCTTGCCTGGTCTGGCCTACATGTGACTCCAAACCCCCACCAATATTGTTGACTCTTAATTGCCCTCTAGGCAAATAGGGATGGACAATAAATGCTGCCTGACCAGGAATGTCCTCATCTTGTGAATGAATAAAGAGGAAAAAAAATCTTGCAGAGTGCAGACCTATATCCATAGCTGACCCCATAGTTTTAGTAATACCAACTAGTGAATGTAATGAAAACCAAACTACATCTTGTCAAGAGTGGAGCAACTTTTTGGTAAGACTTACCAGGAGTTGTTTTCTGCCTCAGTGAAACAAATAGATCTTAGCTTTGATCCAGTCCAAAGTACGAGGATTGGTGCCACTATCCTGCTATCCTTCAATACCATGTGATCAGTAGTGAGTTTTGATGTTTATTACCACTGAGAATGATGGTGAAAAAAGTGCTCAGGAGCCAGGATAGGAAATTTCTAAAAGGCCATGCCTGTGCCCACCTCATCAGTCTACTCCGAATCATCAACAAAGTGATGGACAGTGTCATTGACAGTCTGAATAAATTGCACTTACTCAACAATAACCTGCTCATTGATTTCCAGATGAGATACTGCCAGAACCATTCAGTTCCTGACCTCATCACCGCTTTTTCCAAACATGTACAAAAGAGCTGATCTCACAGAGAACTTGAGAGTGACTGCCCTTGACAACAAGACAATATTTGACCAAGTGTGGCATCATGAAGCCTGAGAGAAACTGGAGTTACTGGGAATCAATTTGAAAATTCTCAACTGGTTGGAGTCATACTTGACACGATGGAAGATGGTTGTGGTTGTTGGAGGTCAGTCATCACACCTTCCGCAACACACAGTGATAGCAATGTGTACCCACTGCAAGATTTACTGCGACAACTCACCAAGGCTTGTTAGGCAGCACGTTCAAAACTCATAACTTCATAAAGAAGTTTATAAAGTTATGAGCACAATAGGATGAATAGCTAAGGTATTTTCCCCAGGAAAGGGGAGCCTGTAACTAAAGGGCATAGGATTAAGGTGAGAGGGGAAAGATTTAAAAGGGACCTGAGGGGCAACATTTTCACACAGAGGGTGGTGCTTGTCTGGAATGAACTGCCAGAAAAGGTGGTGGAGTCTGGTACAATTATGAAGTTTAAAAGGCATCTGGATTGGCCTATGAACAGGAAAGATTTAGAGGGATATCAGTCAAGTGCTGGCAAGTGGGACTAGATTGATTTAGGATATATGGTCAGCATGGACGAGTTGGACCGAAGGGTCCTTTTCCATGCTGTAAATCTCTATGACTCTGTAAATGGATTAGGGCATCAGATACATGGGAACAACATCACCTGCAATTCTCCTCCAAGCTATATACTATCCTGACTCAGAACCATATTGCCATTCCTTCATTGTCCCTGGGTTAAAAATCCTGCAGCTGTCTCCCTGATAGCATCGGCGTTGTTGGGGGTGGAGGGCAGTGGGCAGGGCAGTGGTTGGTGGGTGGTGCCGGGAGGGGGTTTGGTCTACCTACATCAAATGGATGGCAGCAGTTCTAGATGGTAGCTCACCACCACCTTCTCAAGGACAATTAAAGATGGGCAATGATGCCCACACCCCACAAATAAATGAAAAACACATGGAGTTTAAAGTTTAAAAGACTTTACGGCTTTAAGAACAAGTCATAAAGTGAGTAGCTGGGAACACTGAACAAACAAGCAGTCAGCAGGACCACATGGAAAGAGCAACAAGGGAGAAACAGTACTCAAGGCTGAAGCGTTTACATCAGAGCTAATATGACACAACAAAGAAGCAGTATGGAATCGAGCTATTTCATAGATTAGTCCCACCTGGCTCATACAAATTCTGTCAGGAAGCAAGGGTCTGCAGGAACATTTCTGATTAGAGATTTGGCTAAGAAGTGAATATTGCAAAGTTCCAAGAGCAAACTAGCTCCTGTGAGGAGACGCATGTTAAGTTAATGACATTTTCCTCAGGGAAATTGGTGATCCAAATGCCTTGATTTTAACAGAAACTGATTCTGTCAATGGACATCTCATTAATTTTTAGTTTGATACAGGAGCAAGTACCATTTTCGTCTTAGATCAAATATGATAGCTGAAGAAACAGTTACACCCTATTGAAATGAAGCTGCACGGTCACGTAGCTCATGATTAAAAGTAAACAACACCCCAACACAAACAGGATAAGGGAGTTCAGAATGCATGTGTGATTTATATTCAGCACATTTTACTTTTGAGTCCATAAGGAAGCCTTAACCTCAACATCCTCAGCACTCTGCTATTGTAAGTATACACATTGGGAGCCTCTTTCCTTACATGCAATATTGTATGTCTTTCTTCATCCATGGATTCTCAATAGTGTTATTGAGAACCTTGCTTTTTAGGGGAAGATATTCTTCTAACATTCTGCTGAACAACAATTTCCTCGACTTTTAGTGCTGGTCTACTGTGATGTTTGCTCTTTTTTTTTGCTTGTTCACTTTATTTCTTCAAATTCCATTCATATTCTCTCAAAACCAGCATTTGTCCAATCTGTTCATCTGGTTTTAGTGACACCAGCGTCCATTGGTCTCATAACTCTAAGGTGTTTTAGTTTATCGTCACTATTGCCCAGATATTTCCCTAATTTCATATCTCTGACCCACTGGCTCATTTACTGTTACGAAGTCCAATGGAGGACCTTCCCTTGCTAAATATGCTTTATTACCTCTTACATATTATTATTTTGCATATTGGCGTTCATTTATTCATTCATGGGATGTGGGTGTCATTTGCAAGGGTAGCATGAGTTATCCATCTCTACCTGCCCTTGAGAGGCTATGGTGAGCTGCCCTCTTGAACTGAGTCCATCTGGTGTCAGTAAATCCATGATATTGTGAGGAAGGAAGTTTCAGGACTCTGAACCAGTGCCAGTGAAGGAATAACAATCTGAATAACAATCCATGTCAGGATGGAGTGTAATTTAGAGTTGAACTCGGAGTAAGTAGTGTCCCTAATCAGCTCTTCCAGGTGGTTGATGCCCTAGTCCTTTTATAGAGTCATGGAGACTTACAGCTTGGAAAACGACCCTTCGGTCCAACTCATCCATGCCGACCATATATCCTAAATCATTCTAGTCCCATTTACCAGCACTTGACCTAATCAGTTCTTCTAGGTGGTTGATGCAATGAATTTAGGAGATGCGATTAAAGGAGACTCGGACAGTTAGAAAAGGAACCTGCATTCCCTTATTACATTTACTTCTGTCTTCTGTATAATTAATATCAGATTCATCCAAGTCCTGCTTTATTATGGTTCTGTGCTTTTAATTTGATTTCCTAATTTTTCAACAGAATTCATTCTTCACTATCTGCCACGTCCCAGTGACAGATGGTGGCATTACCTGGGGCTAGTGGTGCTACACAATAATTCTGACTTCGTGTCAATGATATTGAGTTAGCAATCCACAGGCTCATACTCTGGGGACATGGACTCAAATCCCATCACCACTGCAGGAGAGATTTCAATGTAATTTAAAGCTCTCCCTAATGATGTAATTAATTATTGTTAAAAACCTATTTTGGTTTGTGGATGCTCCTTTGAAAGGAACTCTGCTATCCTTTTCTGGTTATATGTGACTCTAGACCCAGAGCAATGTCATTGACTTGAAATTGCCCCCTGAGAGGGCCAAATGAGGCCCATGGTGGTGCAGCAGTCCTAGAAAGTGGTCCTCCTCCACCCTCTCGAAGGTGATGAGCAGTGGCAATCAAATGCTGGTCTTGTAAATGATGCCCACAACCCTTAAAAGATGACCCACCCACTACGAGATGGTCTGCAGCTTTTCCATTCATATTCTGTTTTTGTCTTTGCTAATAGCTCAGCCTCCTCCTGTACAATTGTAAACATGTAAAGGGCAGAGGGGAGGATGTGGGAGGCCACCAGAGAAATCTGGACCACCTCAATGTAGTTTAAATGCATCCTACTCCCCACACACTGTCTAAACAGCCCCAGCTAATTTAAACACCTCCCCACTGTCTTCATTTTCAAAACCAGCGGAAGGGACCAATTCATATCTGCCACCTAGTTCCCAACCAATAGAAATAATTTTCTATCAAAGTCACTTGACAACCTTCTTTTTGCAACTTACTTTGCTCAATTTGTCACGTAAGTTAATATGTAGATCAAACCTGAATCACTAATTCTTCCTCCAATTCATTTGTGAGTATAATAAAACGCTGAGGTCCTCAATACTAACACCGAGAAGTAATCACATTCAATCAATCCTGCTTCCTTCTGAACAAATCTGTTCACTTCCTAACAGCACAGCAAGTGTACCTACAACGTAAGGACTGCAGCAGTGCAAGAAGGCAGCCCTTCACACTTTTTCAAGGCAGTGAGAGATGGGTGACAAATGATGACTTATCTAGTGATGCCCAAGCTGGGAAGAAGAATTAATTTTTAAAATTTGGAACTCATACAGATTATTCCCAGAGTCTCCAGCTTCCTCTCAAATTCCTGACTATGAGTTAGAGATGGTCTCTAATATTTTTCAAACCTGTTTATTCTAATGAACGGCCTAATTCTTTTTCCAGAACTAAAGTCTCTCAGCCTTTAACACAAATGGGATTAATTTCTCCAGATGCAGTCACAGTCCACCTCCCCACCCCCATCATAACAGTGCTGATTCGACTAGGAGAAACGCCACAAAGAATTTTACCCCACTGGGAAGTAACAGAAATTGTAACAGTTACAGAAAGATCCAAAATTGAGAACTGACAAGAGAAATGGAGCATGTTTGGAAATTGTGGTCACAAGTTGTAACAAAGTAAACAAACAAATGTTAAGAATGTTGAGCAGTAACCTGAATTGTAACATTTCATTGCTCCACTTCATGCAGCAGCAGTTCTATTGCAGAATCAGAAATCCGCCAGATACTGCCGTCCTGTTGCTCAGTTTTAAGACTGGAGACAGCGAACCAGTCATTACATCTTCTTTACAATATTCACCTGGAAAAAGTGACCTGCATGTATTTTACTGTGGTGGGCTCAAAACTGACACTACAATATTCAACAAAATGTACAAATCTCATAGCAAATCATCTCCCTTTTGAACATTTCCTGTCTCACATTATTTTTCTTATTCTTGCTCGCTCTTCTTCTCTTTATACTTGTTTCTCAATGTAAGAGCCACATTAATATCTTGTCTTTCTAGTCCCTGCTGATGTAGTTTTTGGGTAAACCACCACTGTCAGCATGATTTAATGTCTGTGTTCTCCTGTATGTTAGCCCTTGTAGTGTGTACCACAAAGACTGGCCTCATGTTGCAACAGGACAATATGCACTACAGCTGAATTACCTCTGTCTCTGTTCATTATCAACCATAGGTAGACAGACATACACTCCCTTCTTACAGATCCACAATGTCTAGGAGAATCCTTGTTCAAAATATAACTCCATTCTCCAGTGAGAAAAGCATTCTGAGCCAATGCTTTCACTACTCGCATTGATTCTAGTGGAAGGAGTTTATGTGATGCAATGTGTAGAGCCTCTGTATCTGAACCCAAAGATCCACTTCTGAGTCTCGTTCCAGAACTATAGTGCTAAGGAATGCTGATGATGATGGAGCCAAACAGGAGGATTTCAATCGGATTTCCTTCCAATAGTCCAAGCAGGCAGGAAGAGTGGGAGAGACACTTGGTCAGTCATGCTTGATGCCGATTTACCATCCTCAAACTGGCAGCCTTAACGAGTGGTTGAGAGATGACTGTGGGTCAGGATGCCTGAACTGCTCTTCATCAGACCATGCCGTGGGATTTTTCTCATCCACCTGAGAGAACAGAGAGATTCAGTGAAATTCAACGATTCATTCCAAAGAACATCTCCCCGACAAAGCTGCATTTCCTCAATCCACTGAAATGTCAGCCAGCACTGTCAACTGGAAACTGTGGACTGAATCTTACATTCTTGTGGGTCAGTACAAGTTGAGTTGTGTTGGGTTTTTGGACAAGGCCAAGTGATTTCTCTTGCTGTATCTTAGTGAATGCCCCTCATTAATTACCCACCCCATTCCTAGGGCACCTCTTGTGCCCGATTTCCACCCATCATACCACACACTGTTCCCGAAATAACTCACCATTCACTGGATATCCTGAACTTCACTGGGCATAACTTGTGCCAGTTCCATTTTTAGAATCCCACTGTGAACCTGGACAACTGCTGTAGCTGCGCAGCTGCCCTGCACTGTTGGTGACATGTGTCCTCCACATGGCAGATTGGAGATAACTGGCACCCTGCTTAGTGGGCACGCTTCTAGAGTTCCTGCAGCATGCGTAGTGCTGACACAGGACTTCCATCACTCCCAAGACCCGCTGAGGAGGCCATGAGACCAGACCATCTGAGTTTGCCACCCAGGTCAGTACAGTCTCAGCCATCTGGAGGAATGCCCAGTGCTGAAGAAAGATGGTCAATGTCCTTCTGCATTCTGCTAGCGTAAGTGCCACCATCTTCACTCCAGCACCCTCACACTCACTCTTTCTGTCTCTGCCAATGCAGCCACCTCCCACCAAGGTTTGCGCTCTACCATTCTCGGTGTCGTCTGCAGTATCTTCCCTCACTGACCCTCATCCACCGTGACACCAATGACACTGCATGAGGAAAGCAATAGGGCAGAAAGAGTCAAGACTGTGTGCTGCCTCCCTTCTGAGGAGAGGACCCTGATTCTGATCTCCCTCAGAAGGGCCCTGACTTATCAGAGGCTGCCTATGGCTGACTATATTGGAAACCCCTGAATAAAGGACCTGGAAGTGCAGCCTGGTCCAGACTGCATCCCTGATCTCACAGTGCCCTTGCCACACTATTACAATGAGATTCATTGGTTCAGGCTGAGGTGTAGCACTGAAGTGCAAAAGTGCCCTGTAGGCAACTGGAAATGTGGCCTATGGGTCCTTAGATGCAGGCACGTGTTGGACGACAATGTCTGGGGAACATGAGGTGGTTGGCCAGTGCCTTAAGATATTGGTGCCCAAGATCCATCATGGAGATCATTCAGAGTAAACATTGATCTGAATCTGTCAGGTGCCCGCTCCGGTTTCTTGGTTGAGTTTTCCCAACATCATGTTTGGTGAGATAACAAAGTGTAGAGATGGATGAACACAGCAGGCCAAGCAGCATCAGAAATACCGGAAAGCTGACATTTCGGGACTAGACCCTTTCTGAAGAAGGGTCTAGGCCCGAAACATCAGCTTTCCTGCTCCTCTGATTCTGCTTGGCCTGCTGTGTTCATCCAGCTCTACACATTGTTATCGCAGATTCTCCAGCATCTGCAGTTCCTACTATCTCTGAAACAATCATGTTTGGTGAGTTTGGTAAGATGGCAGTCTGAATATTAATGAGGTGAGTTGTGGAGTTAACGAGGCATTTACCAAACAATAGTCACCATCAATTGGCAATTCATCTGCTGCCCAGTGAGAATCGCACCACATTGAAATCCAGGTAAGGCCTCACCAGATATCTCACCTGATTCTACTCAAATCTCACCACAGCCCCATATCACTCTGAGCCCTGTCAATTCTACTTTTTATTTTTGATGTTAATGGAATTAAAATTTACCCACTCACCTCTTGATAACTTCTGCCCCAGAGACTTCTAATCAGGTACCTCGTGTTAGGCTCCTATCCAGGAATTCACAAATCCAGCCATGAAGATTTTCAGAAAACCCACTCTCCCTTTTTGCAGCAGTCGGTGTACCATGTTGAGAAATTTAAATATCCAGCGGTATAGCTGCTGTGAAAGAGTAAATGTGGCAGGTTAGTGCAAGGTTAAGGAGTCAAATGGTTGAGGTGCCAGCAAGGTGTGCTTAATAGCTGGAGTAGTGTTTGAATCTGCAATTTTCTTGAAGAAATGAAAAAAAGACACTAAACCAAAGTGGTCAAATCAAATTACAGAGATTTCCATAATGAGAAATCTCTTCCTAATGTGTTGTGTGCTGTGTGTGTATGATGGCGGATTGGTTATGCAACTGGGTCGGTAAACCACAGGTTAGACTAATGATCCACAGGCATGCGTTCAAATATCACTCACACAGCTTGTGAATTTGTAATCAGCTCATGAAACAAACCTTGGATATCAATGATTTTGAAATGACAGGATTGTCATCAAAACTGAATGTTTTTTAGGGAAGGAAATCTTCTATCCTTACCTGTTGTGTAACCTGAGCCTCATGGTGATGTTGTTGGCTCTGAAATAACTAAACAAGTCTCAGTGTCAAGGAGTCTGGATTTTTTCGCTCAGGGCTTGGAAACTGTCTGTTCCAGCATGGGGTGTCTCCATTAACACAGTTACAGACCCAGTCATGATGCAGCATCTGGTGGGCAATGTCTCTGATTCTGTTGCAGTGCATGTATCTTCTACAAAACATCTGAGTCTGCAGTGGAAACTCCGACTGAAATCATGAAAGGTCAGCTTGTTTCATTAAGGCTCCAGATTGTGTTGGTGTTGAATTTGGATAGTCCCCTTGTCTAAATTGGACTCTTGGTGCTGCACTATCATCCTGGAGGTGAGCAGTGGGAATTTAGGCATTTCCTGCTTCCTGGCAAAGTCTTTCTTGTTGGGAATTCACCCCCCCACCCCACCCCCGGCAAAAAGGACAATCCCTAATTTAGAATGTAATCTAACAGGGTTTATTTGACCACAGATCTGAATGTTTAATGTTCTGGCAAGTGAGGCATGGTTATGGTGTCCAAGTGCAATGCGAGTCAGTCTGTTTGTTCCATAGATCCCGGGATAATTGGGATCTTCTTCTCTTGGATCTTGGACCCGATCACTTGACTCACAATGTACCTGAACCCGGTCTTTTAAGTGACAATGTACTTCGAGAGTTTAAGTCCATCATCCTAAGCCAATGCCTCTCTCTCTCCCTCCCCACCTTGTCCCCCTCTCCAGCTGCTGCTAAAAACAGCTTCCTGACAAGGACTTTCAATTCGCCTTCTCTGAAGGCAGTTCTCTTCAGTCCTAATAATAGATTCTAATCCAGAATCAATCCTGATACCTGTTGACGCAGTGAACTGTGAAGAAGATTATCTCACAGTACAACGAGACCTTGATCAGGTGGTCCAATGTGCCAAGGACTGGCAGATGGAGTTTAATTTAGATATATGTGAGGTGTTGCATTTTGGTAAAGCAAACCAGGCAGAACTTACACAGTTAATGGTAGAGTCCTGGGGAGTTTTGCCGAACAGACAGACCTCAGGGCACAGATGCATAATTCTTTGAAAGTGGAGTCACAGTCGAAACAACACCTTCTTCTCATTAGACTACTGAGTGGGTTTGCTCTACCACACCATTGAGTGTGGTAGGCAGACACTGTGGATTCCCTCCAGGAAAAGGGATGGTGGTAGCAAATGTACCAGATAGGTTGTACAAAATGACGAACAGTGACAAGGCTTCACCTTACAACAACCAATGTTCACTTCAAGCTCTCTCTGCTTAGATAGAGCACAATGGCCAGTGTAGTCAAACTGTCCACTCCAACAACAAGGAGGACAGCAACATTAACCTGCTGTAAGAGCCGTTCTATTCTCAAGAACAACACTGTCATGTTGTCCTTATCATATTTTTGAACCCTGTCCTTGCTGGTGGCAATCCAATACTGAGCTCGTCATGCTTCAGAAATGAGCTCCTTTTGGATTCTTCACAAAAGAGGGATGTCCAGCCATGATGTCATCCTAGTTTAAACTCATCACTTTGCATAGCTATATCTTCACTGGGCACACACGTTTTACATTCTTACTCACCTCTGATGAAATTTAACAGGGAACTTAAAAGAATAAGATTAATGGACCCTCTCTCAATCCTAAATTAAAAGCCCTCAAAACCTTCCAATCCAATATATTTTCAAGATGAGAAGAGTTGTGTATAGCTAAATGATATTATCCTACAGCAAGGTCTGATTGTTGCTAGTTATATTTATGTTGTTGCTTTTCCTATATGCAAGGGAATGACAAATCCCAATATGCTTACCTTGAGAAAGACTGTTTATTTTATCAAACTTTTATACTTTTAACTTGCTGATGGTCCACAGTCCACAGATTGTATTCAGTGCAATATCTTACTTAGGCTTGATACAAGACTCCCAAATGTCCAATCATCACAGCAAGGAGTTAGCAGGAGGGAAGCGAAAACACGGAGGACGTTTTTAAGTCCAACCTCAAAAAAATTCAATGCCCTCCCCAACTCATGAGAATCTTCTGCCCAAGACTGCCCAAACTGGAGAAGAAACATCCACAAAGGTGCCAACCATTTCAAGCATCTCTGACAGGCCCAGATGGGGATCAAGTGCAAAGAAGTGGAAAGAACATGAGAAATCCTGAACATTTGAGACACCTGCCTCTCCAAACCCCAGCTGCCTCACCTGTGTTAAGGTGTGTGGATCCAGTATTTGACTGTTTCAATAGGTCGGGAGCCATGACTCCGAATGGGAAGAAAGTCATTCTCAGACTTGAGGGGTTGCAGAAGAAGAAGGATATTCTGTCATTGCTAAACAGTGTCGGCGAGGTCCACTGTCTACAACATGCAATGCAAAAGCTCACCTTGACTTCTTGTTCGTGCCCTCACTGATTTTTAATTATTTTTATTTTATTATTTTATCAATTTTGCTTTGAGCTATGAACAGAGAACTGTGACGTAGAGGTGACTTTTGGAATCTGTGTAACAGCTTGTGTTAAAAGGAAAACAGACCAAACAAACTTTTGTTTATTCATGAGGCCAGGCCTGGAAGCTAATTACAGGTTGGTTCCTGATTAAAAGGTTCTGTAGAAGCTTCGATGATGGGGAGAGCATTGTGTTTAAACAGTTTGCCGAAATTGGCTATTAATTAGGTCAATTCCTGGGATTGGTTCAGCAAGTCTAGAAAAGTCCTTATGCTCAATCAGATGAAAGATGTTGATCGGTAACTGGGACCTTGTAGAGGAGACAGTCCATCTGTCAGGGAGTGACCAGAGTTTGATTTGGGTTTTCGACTAGCATCTGGCTGTTGATACTACAGCAATAACATTTGAAATCTGCATGCCCAAACTCCCATAAGCAGCTCTTGGTAACTCAGAGAATGGAAACTAAGTTTACAAGTAAGGCTGCCTTTATCTGAGTGAACTGTGTAGGTGACCCTGATTGACCTCTTGAGAAAATCAACCAAACTTTGGAGAGGTGTATCATGAAAAGCACTTAAGTAATCCAGGCCAATTTTGTTAATTTTCTTTTATTTATCCATTAACCGTGTTCGCTTGTCTGTCTGTCTTTTGCATGAATGAGGTTGAAATCAAAGGCTGTTGAGTTTAAAGCATGGACCAAATAGATTTTACCTACTAAAGTTATTGAATTGTTAATAAATTGCTAAGACTTTTGTCTAAGATATAAGCAAGTGTCGAAAATTGATTAATCTCAAAGTCTTGGAAGGGTCCGTTATTCAAAAAGTCAGCTTAGGAATCATTAGCGTCATTTTTTGAGGATCTTTCAAAGTTTTAATTTTACTGCATTGTAAATACAGAGGTAGTAAGACTGATTTGATTTAGCTGTCTGTCTCCATGTGAAAACAGTCTTCATCAGCACTTTCCAAACCTGCAAACCTTACCATATAGAAGAACAGAAACATAGAAACACTGAAGATAGGAGCAGGAAGAGGCCATTCCACCCTTCAAGCCTACTCTGCCCTCATGCAACTTAATAGCCTACACCTGCTTTCTCCCCATAACCTTTGATCCCATTCACCCCAAGAGCTATATCTAGTTGCCTCTTGAATACATTCAATGTTTTGGCATGAACTACTTCCTGTGGTAATGAATTCCACAGGCTCACCATTCTTTGGGTGAACAAATGTCTCCTGATAATAAAGAGGAAGGCACATGAAAGCCAACTGCAAGTTCCCCTGTAGGCCACACACCATGCTTTCTTGGAAACATAATACTGTTCCCTCTTCATTGCATGGCCAAACTGCTCCCCACCCACCACCAACTCCTCAAACAGCACCAACTCCATGCGCACTGCAGTGAATCAATAAGGTGGTTCATCATTTTTATCTCAAGTACAATTAAGAATTGGATATGAATAGCTACATTCTTTATATATAGCAACAAATAATATTTCATAGTGAAGAATGGTTTCTTTCTCATGGTGCATCAGTAAAACAGACTATGACCAGTTTTTTCAGACGTTATGGAATTCTTGGGATAAATGTATATACATTAATGTAAATGTCAGTGTATTCACTCATTGCTTTACCTTGGGTGATATACGTAATTCTCCATGGAGTTTCTCAGTCTCATCCATGTTCTGTGTGCTGGACTGTTTATGGCCAGTTTGATTTTCATTTTCCGCTTCATTGTTCTGTTTCCCAATCACCTGCTCTGAGAGTTGGTCGTGGTGTTGACCCTGCTAGTGATGTCCTCTTGGACTCTGGTATGTGGATTACAGTTCCTCTTCATTTAACAGGTGGAGGGATGGAAGCTCAACTTTTCTGAAAGGAGGCTAATGGTCTGAAATGTCATTACTCCATCTAGAATCACTGACATTGACATGTTCAAATTTGCCAACATCTTCATGGCTGGAACCCTCAACATATATCGAGCTGTGAAATAAAACAGGAACAAGGACCTTGATCTGAGTCATTTGTAATGCGTGTTTAGATAAGATTAAATCTCCGATTGGAAACTGATGAAATGAAATCATCTTAATGACTAAATTACATTGAAAATGTAGACTACTTCAGTGATTAGAAAAATGAAACTATCACAGACTGTTGTACAAAACCATTTGATTCATTAACACCCAACTGGAAAGGAGACCAGCCATCCTTACCTTAGCTGATGATGCATGTGTCTCCAGAGCAAGTAATGTGGGGGACTTTTAACTACTTTCGAAAATGGCTGAGGACACCATTCAGTGGTAGCAATTAGGGAAGGGAAATAATTGGTGGCCTTGCCAACAGTCCCCAAAATTTGGAAGATTATTTTGAAAAGTATGGGAAGTTATTTAAGGTTCACTATAAATATGGTTTAACCCAGTCTATCCCCAGAAATGCAGCAAGGAGAATCCACACTGACCCTGGTAACATCACTTTCATCCACAGCAGGCTCTCATTGGAGGGTGATGCAAGTTATAAAGGGATTTATTCCACATTTGCGTCCAACTCAATCCTGTTTGATGCTGACACTTAGGTTAAACTTAGAGAAATCCTCCCTTCACAGTCCTGACCATCCTCTCTCATCAGCGTCGACTTTATCAAAATTAAACATTTTAATAAAAAGAGGATGTATCATATGATCTCACTGGAACACAACGTTCTTTTATACTTGGAGAAAGTGGCCTCAAATTCTTAAGCAACTCTCCAAATGACGTGCACTAACTGATTTGAGCTTGTTAATAAACTAATTTGTTCTATTTGTCAATCAGTGATGCTATCACAGCATTGCAGGATGGGTTCTGGGAGGCTGTGTGTATATAAAGTACGAATACACATACACTGTGAGGAAGAGCTGCACTTAGATGAACAAGATCACTTCAAGATGAGGTTACTGATGCAAGGGATTATTTTCCTTTTGCGTTTCACTGTTCAGGTAGATTTGATTGGACCTGGATGGATATTTCATTCTGAAGGAGGTCGGGTCTCAGGGTGACTCTGCTGTGTTTAGGCACAATGACATGACATGTTCTGGGAGACTGTGGTCATTTAGTGAGGAATTACAATAGGAAGGGTTTCTGTTTAATCTCTGGGTAACCCAACATTTTCAGATACTGTGAATATCAGGTCTCAGTCCTGTTGATATTTCTTTATTACTCATTCCCATGGTTTGGCTTTTGCTAATTATGTTAACATTTATTGCCCATACCTAGTTACACTTGAGGAGGTGGTGATGAGCTTGAGTTATTGCAGTATGTATGCTGTAGGTAAACCCACAATGCTGTTAGTTAGTGCAATCGGGGTTTGGAATCAGTGACAATGAAGGAATAGTGATATACTTCCAAGTCAGAATGTTGGCTAGCTTGGAGGGGAACTTGAAGGTGGTGGTCTTCCCATCTATCTGCAGCCCTTGTCCTTCTAGATAGAAGTGGTTGTGAGTTTGGAAAGTTTTGTCTCAGGATCTTTGGCAAATTTCTGCAGTATATCTTGTAGACAGTACACACTGATGCTATTGAACATTGGTGGTGGAGGGTATGGATATTTGTGGATGCGTTGGCGATCACGTAGGCTACATTGTCCTGGATGGTATCAAATTTCTCACAAGGGTTCTGCAAAGGGGTCATCATTCCTGTGTTGATGCATGAACAAATGGAGCTACATTGTCTTGTTCTTTTGTTACACATTAGTTCATTAACTAGGAGTCAAATTGCTGATACAGAATGTAACCAACACAGTGTGAGCTCTTGTGGCACAATGGGAGCCCAGGTTCTCGTCCCAGCTGCTCCAGACCTGTGCAATTGTATTGGTGAACAGCTGACTAGCGCTGTAACATTACCACAATAACTGAACAGAACTGGAGATAATGTTATCCTCACTGTTTCTTTAATTTTACCAGAGTTACTTCTTATTAACGAGCTGGAGTTACATTTTAAACAGAGGAATTTCCGGGCAAGGAGTGGAGGGAGGAGGATCTGTCTATTTGTAATTGTTAATAAACAGAGCTATTATCAGATTAATTCAGCTCCAGTAGGACTAGAGAGTCAAAATACCAAAGCAGCCCTTGCATGTTTCATTGAGAAACATGGGCATAAAAGAGAAATTGACATCAAGCAAGCAGGAGAAAAATGTGAGAAAAATATTATACAGGAAGATGATTTGCTCTGATGCTTGTATCTTTTCTTTGAATGATGTTGTTTCAGCTTTATGCCCACCACTGTAACACAAACCCAATCACAATATAAATTTCAGAGTCTGTCCTAATTGCGTTTTTCCTGCAATCTGCTGGCAATGATTTAGCCACTCTGGGGAACCTTCCAAATTTAGAAGTGATATTACTGATTCAGTTGAAACTATTTAACAACTGTAACTGAAGGATCTGATTAAAATCCTGAAGAGATCTCACTGCACCATGCCAACCATCAAAGGGATTTTGTCACAACTTGCAAAGGGAAACATGTTCATCACTGTAGGAATCACTGGTGAATGAAGCTGCATGAAAGTAGCACTTTCTAACTACATTCTGAATGCTGTTTGGTCGAGATACCATTTGATATTTCCATTTCTCCAGTGGAATATCAGCACGGACATCATGAGTTGGTGACTTTCCTGGAGTGGAAGCGACGGTGGATTATCTGACAGGTTTTCAATGTGGAAATACAATGAAAGGAGTTTTGCTGACCACAATCGAAATCTCATACAGAGTTCACCAGGTCAACCTGAAACTGAAGAAGAATAAATTGCATTCAAAGATGCCTGAAGTCAAATACTTACACTGTACACTGACAGCAAAATATGTTTGCCTGCATCCCAAAAATTGTGAGTTATTGTAGTGAAGCAACAATCAAAAGATGTAAAAACAGTGCAAGTATTTGTTGAAATCACCAACTAAATTTCATCAGAGTGTGCAACATGATGCCAATTCACGGCCAAGGATATGCTGAGGTATTGGGACACAGAACGTGAAGCAGCACTCATTAAAATCGAGCTTCGGGAGATGCTAACATCAGTAATGAAATGCTGTGACAAATAATGAAGTTATCCTGCAGTGTAACACCAGTGAAGCAGTCAGGAATGTGATGGAATACTCCCCACTTGCCTGGATGGGTGCAGCTCCAACAACACTCAAGAAACTGATACCATCCAGGACAAAGTAGCTCGCTTGATTGGCATTACATCCACAAGCATCCATTCCCTCCACCACCAACACTCAGTGACAGCTGTGTGTACTAACTACAAGATGCATTGCAGAAATTCACCAAAGATCCTTAGACAGCACCTTCTAAACCCACGACCACTTCCATTGAGAAGGACAAGAGCAGCAGACATATGGGAACACCACCACCTCCACGTTCCCCTCCAAGTCACTCA